GGGCATGCCTTAGGGAAAGGATGTTAGTTGTGATCCTTTCAGGGAGAAATGAAATCAAAAACAGCCTCAAGGGAACGGGCTGCGTGCACACTGTGCGTACACTCTGTCCCTCTCCCTTAACTGCAATTTCAACTAAGCCTTCCTGCAATGCTCATGAAACACAACCATTATTTTTTCATGCACTGCCATCTGATTTCAGCATCATCTCACAGATCTATCTTACTTCCTTCTTCAGACAAAGAGTATTTGTGGGCTTAAACTCTGAAGAGAGAAAGAATGCACATCTGGCAACTATCCTAACACAGGAGAGGGGCTCGTATGCATCTTTGGAGCTGCTTCTTTTGGGAAACAAAAAGAAAACCCACAACGAGCCAAGAAATGTCACACAGCCCCAGCTGAGGATTGAAAAGCAGAGCAGAAACAACACCATATGAAAGCAGTCTCACCTCTGCTGCCATGAAAGCCAAGGTGTGCATCCCATGGGTGTAGCCAATAACACTACAGACGACTGCCAGCCCGCAGCAGGACAGCAGCATGGCCACAAGCAGGGTCAGGACTCTGACGTGGCTGCTCATGGGTGTTGTCGGAGAGAAGGACAGCTGCAGCACAAACACATAAGTACATAACAGGTTTGAATTAGCACTTCATTCCCCCTGCCCTCCATGTTCACTTCCCCAGACAATTTTTCCTTGCTTTTATTTTCCAGAAGAAAATCAGTTTCACGACCTCAACCACGCAATGTAGCAATAAGCACTGTGCAATAAAGCTAAAGGGACACACCACCACAGGGCATCACTCATCTCCCTCTCATTTACATTCACAGGGCTTTTTAAGGTCAGAAAGGACCATTTTGATTATTTGATCTAATGTTTAGGTCACTTCTGTGATAAAACCACAGGCACTTTCTCACTCAGTAGTTTCCATATCAAATCCACAGCATCTGCTGAGGATGAACTCAACAGCACTGGAAGAATGAGACACCACCCTCCAAAAACTCACCTGCAGCTAGAGACTGCTGGACAGGCCTATTGCAAATGGTCTCATTCAACAGCATATGTAATATATTCATCATCTGAGCTACCTTGACAGTAGATTACGTCTAGATCAAGTCAAAAGTTACTAAAGAGGGGTCCATGTCCTTTTTTTCAGAGCAGGAAGAACAGGATAAGGAAAAGAGCTGCCCAGAGCTTCACCCCACTCTGATTAAATTTGACTGCATGTTTTGTTCTAAAATCAATCCCTTCTTCCTTGTTTACATTCGGTTCAGTTTCTCATCCAGCTGAGTCTCCAAGGCAAATCACACCAGTATCATTTGTCCAAACAAAGGACTACGATACACACTTGAAGGCAGAAGGGATATAATAAGGATTTCCCCTTATTATGAACTTTATTCTCTTACAGCCCTCTGAACAAGCCCAATGCTACCCAATGTCTGCCTGGCTCATTTCTGCCTCAATTTCCCTAGCCCCAGTCCATCTCATTTCAAGTTTGGTGCTCGGTTCCTTGTGAATTAAGAGGCCTTACAGGACATCAATAACAAAATAAAGACACTACAGAGTTACCAGGAGGAAATCCATGGATTCATTTTAGTTTAAACTTATTCCAGGACAGAGGAGCTGAGGAAAACACACATGCATTATAGATGCTTGAAGAACAAGATTTACAGTTCAAATTCCTGTTCCAAATTCCTTGCCTAGTTTTCAGCTTCTGGGTCTCCCAATCAAATTAATTGCTGGTATTAACAGAAATTGCATACAGCTTATGAAGAAAGTTGTGCTGCGTATCATAAAGGCTTTGGGACTCAGCACTGGGTAGATGTAAGTGAGCTTGAAACATGAGCACAGAATTGACACAAAGAGGTTTTACAGATCAGTCCCAAAGGGCACCTTTCTAAGGGAAGTTGTGCTCACCAGATTTCTCCACTAAGAGCTATGAAGACAGGACACGGAGTTAAGCAACAGTAATTACAGGGCAGATATAAGGAGCAATTCACTGAAGAAAATAAATATCTTTGGCTCTGTTTATCAGATGAGAAAACAGATTGACACGGCATTCCAAAGCAATCATCTGAAGCTAATGGAAGGTGCACACGTTCAGCACCTCAGGTGGGGAGAAGGCCTAAGTGTTTTGCTTGCAACCTATCCTAACTCAGTGTCTCTAAATTTGTAAACCCCAAAAGAGAGCCCTTAATCAAAACTTACATATTCAAAGCGATCCTTGCAGAGCTGGACCATGAGATGAAGAAACACAAGCCCAGAGAACCAGAGGCACCACATGACCACTTCTTCCACTGTCTGAACATTGAGCACACCAAAAATGAAGATGAACTTGTAGAAGATGAAATTCCAGAACTTATCCTTGAGATGCTGAAAAGAAAGACACTCGGTTACTGTGGAGAGAGCACTGACAATCCACACGTTTTGTTAAAGAACATAATGAAACCACCAGGACAGTTTAGACATGCCCAGAATTCCTTCCCGATGCTGACAGTGTAGGTTCAGCAGTAACAATAACCAGCCTTTCCCTAAGCATACTCCCACTATCCAAAAACGAATGAATCCAGTCACTGCCTTTCACTTCTGTTTTTAAGAGGGGAGAGAACCTGGGAATTATCACTGGTTAAAATTCCATATCCTCACTGTCAACGTGTACAACCAAAAAAAAGCCTGGCCAGTTTGTTATATACTCCACTCAGAGGCTCCAAGGGAGTGAATCACAGATACGACAGGCTTTGAGGGACCCGTGGCTACTCACAAAGCCTCACGTGCCACAGCTCTGCGTGCCAGAAATGATCATAGCCTGATTTTTCCCAGAGAACGTACGTTTACATGCTTATTTTTAAAATATCTACTATTCCAAGCACTGCTGCTGCTTTTATCTTTTGCAGAATCCTGCTGTTAAAAAGCCTGGGCTGTAACTGCCCTCCGGCTGCATTCTGACAAACCTCCTCCCCCAGGATAAGTGCAGTAACGAGCGGCGTGAGCCTTCAGTCCTGGCCACATGCGTGCCTGGCCACTCTTCAGCCACCCCCTCCGTGTCTGAGCTGGAGAGCACCGCGCTCGTGCAGCAGCCAGAGCACAGAGCAAGGCATGGCAGCCAGCAGCACTGGCACTGCCCTAACTGAGGAACACGGCCGAGAAATGCTGCCGCACACGAGCGAAACAGAGATGTTATGAACACCCTGAGCCGAGGCAGGCTTGTAAGCAACCTGGCAGTGTGCACGACGGGTTTCCAAGTTGACCACGGGCTCATAAAATACCACTAAACAACGGGAAGCCTATAACTGCAGATAGAGCGGCTAAAGGGCTTCGCGGGGGTTTGTTTCCCACACGGTGCCGTCAGACAGCGCGCGGAACTCCGAGAAGCAGGGCTGACATCTGCTTTAAAGCCGGCTTACGCTGCGTGTGCGGCGGCCCCACGCAGGAGCGCCGCGCCTTACCTGCCTCTCGCTGACGCGCAGCGGGCCGAACACCGCGCGCTGGATCAGCTTAGCGACCAGCATCAGCACGCAGCAGGCCGTGTTCACCAGCACCTGCACAGAAACGCAGCGGTCAGCGACGGACCTCCCGCCCCGCTCCGGCAGGGAGGGAAGGCGGGGATCCGGGCGGAGCCGCTTTGTGCGCCGCGCGGCTCCGCCGTACCGCACGGCTGCGCTCGGGCCGACGGCTCGGCGCGCTTCGTTCTAGAAACGCGAGCCCGGCGCGGCGGGGCGCCCGGCACACAAAGCCGCCGGCCCGGAGCGGCGCGACGACGGCGCCCGCAGCCCGCAGCCCGCAGCCGGCCCCGCCCGCCGCCCGGCTCACCCAGACGCAGAGGCCGTCGGACAGCAGGTAGTAGGCGACGTCCAGGGCCCGCGGCCCGCCCGCACGCTGCTCGCCGGCCGCGACGAGGGCGCGCCGGGCGCTGAGGACGGCGGCCAGCAGGGCCAGGCCGCTGAGCGCCGCGTACGTGCGCAGGCTGGGCCAGGGGAAGCGCTCCAGGAACAGCAGCGGCATCGCGGAGCCCCGCGGCCCCCGCCGCCTCTCGGCCCCGCTTCCTGCGGCCTCGCGTTCCGCCCGCCGGCACCGCCCCTCCGCACCGCCCCGCATGGGGCCGGGCCGCGCTGAGTCACCGGGCGGGACTCCGGCGGCGCGACGCGAGGCGGCTCGGAACGGAGCGCGGGGACGGAACGGAACGAACGGAGCGCGGCACCGCGGCTCCGCTCCCGGGTAACGGCTGGAGAGCGGCGCGCTGCCGTCGCGCTGAGGCCAGCTGGGCTGTCACCGAGCGCGCCTGCTCCGAGAGCGAGCCGCTGGCAGCGCCGCACACGGAGGGGGGAAGCGCCGCGCCGGAGCTGCTTCCGCACGTGCTGCTATAGCGCCTCGGCCCGGCCTGGAGCTACAGGGAGAACGCGCGTCTGTCACGGTATCACAGAACGGCCCGGGTTGGAAGGGACCTCAAGGATCATGAATATCCAACACCCGGCCACACACCGGGCCAACAACCTCCACATTTCACAGCAGCCCAGGCTGCCCAGGGCCCCATCCAACCTGGCCTTGAACACCTCCAGGGATGGACGGGGCATCCACAGCCTCTCCGGGCAGCTGTTCCGGCACCTCACCACTCTCATAGTAAAGAACTTTCCCCTGATATCCAACCTAAATCTTCCCTCTTTCAATTTCAAACCATTTCCCCTTGTCCTGCCGTTATCAACCATTTCAAAGAGTTGATTGCCCTCCTGTCTGTAGGCTCCCTTTAGGTACTGGAAGGCTAGTACAGTCGTGAGGGTGGACAAGAGCTCTGAGATCATCCAGCCCAAACATCTGCCACCAACAGCACTGCCACATCCCTCTGTGCTGCTGCTCTCCAGCGCCTCCAGGCACGCAGACCTCCCCCATGTACTCACATCCTCCTGTTCTCAGCATCTTTCATGTGTTTCTGAAGGAAAGGAGCAGCTTAAGTCATGTTCTTCAAACTAAAAGGCAACTAAAGGAAAAACAAAGTCCACAAAAGATAACCGGTCGGTTCCATTTTGTTTAATGTTGTACAAAAAAAATTGGTGAGTATTACAATGAAAAGTGATTAAATCACTGATATCACACTGCCATCCCGCTACCTAAACAGCTGAGATTCACTTCTCTATTCATACAATAGAATCTTAGTGGCTCTTGGGAAAAGAACAAAAATGAAATCCTGGAGTCACACGTTCTTTTTTTCTACATCATAAAGCTGTGCTCACAGAGACGGCTTCTTCTATCAGACTCCTCAGGTGTACAGGAACTCAGTTGTAAATAAAGTTGAACCTAAAATTAGAAGAGTTATACCAAGTGAGAGACTTCTATTCAGTTTATTTAACTGATATTTTGGAATGTGAACAAGCAAACATTTTGGTTTTATTCCCAATAAGCCTCCACCTGACAGAGCAAAAGTTATTTATTCTTTTTCAAAAGACAGATTTAGCATAACAAGCAGCAGGACTTTTAAACAGCTAACACTACACTAGCAATGCATATCAGTGTGTTGAGGCTGCAAAAGAAACAATAGCCAACACTTCACCACATAAGAGACCTTCATCTCTGCTGAACCTAGCAGTGAGATTTATGTAACCCACCAGCAACTCCTACAGCATTTCTGATATCAGAGCCAACCTTATGCACTCTAAGGGTAATAGATGGACATGTTTAACTGAAGTCCAGTTCTTGTCTTGTTTCACTGCAAACAGAAGAGCACTGCACACATATTCCCACAGAAAAGTGAGCATCCATCTCACCTCCCTGATGTCCTTCCTTTGGATGCACCTGTTGCGCTGCCATCAAACTGGAATTTGGCTGCAATAATAGGTAGCCAGGAGAACTTATCTGCTGGCTTCAGGCAGAGCAAGGTGAAGGGGAACTGTTCACACAATCTAAGGTGTCCCTCTGCACTTCTCCTGACACAATGCATCCATTGTATCCTGTCTGAGGTGGACTGTAAGCTCTTTGGGACAGCTGCACGACTGTCACAGCTTGTTTAAGCAGCACCTAGCCTTGCCTTAGTGCCCAGGCTCCCAGAACCATAGTACAAGCAAACACAACATACCTGCTCAAAAGCTGAGGAAGGCTGGAAATAATGGGTCCGTATCCTGGTGCATTGTCATAGAGCTCAAACAACGGTGCAGCTACCAGCTTGTAATTTTTGGGGACTGCAAACAAAGCTACCAATACATACAAGTTGGTTAGTATTAAATGAAAAATACCACCAAGCATTCAGCCAAGGAACTCCCAACAGATCTCAAAGCAAGATCATTACATGTAGCACTAGACTACCAAAATAGGTTTATTCCTTTTAAATTTAATTGCACGGCTGTGCATGTGATGTAGGAGCAGGAATGGGAGTTTACTAGGAACCCTTGTCCCAGCAACCATCCGGCTTCAAAACTGATATCAACATTTATTTTTTTAATGATTAACTGTAAGCAAATGAACCACAAGAATATGAAAACAAACTTGCAGCCACTTTTCCTTGCATGAAATACACACATTTATAGTTTGATAAATAAAATCCTCTGTTGCAAACACACACTTACCCTTTTCTTGAAGCTGGACTAAGAAAAGTTTCTTGTGCTCTTTTGGTTTAGTAATGTGAGCTGGGATATAGGGGTACTGGAAGAAAAAAAAAATGCTTGAACAGAGCTTTGAAAATACTGTAGATACAAATGCTTATTATCAGCTAAATCAACCTGACAAGACAGAAATGCGTAACAGCAAACTGAACAAGTGTTCTCAGCATGTAGAAATAGAGAGGACTATTCACAGGACATGTGTCACTCATGCAGCAGTGCATAAGTTTCCATTGTGGCTAAAACGGGAACTTAAATGAAGTGCCAAGCTCAGCATGGGGCAGGGAACTGTGACATCCAGTGGTTTCTCATCCATCAGGACAGGTGTAAGGAGGCAGAGAGTTTCCAGAAGAAAAACTTTGTAGTTTGTCCTCAGCCACAGAAAGAAGACTAAATAGGTTAACAAAAATCCCCAAAAACTAATGGCTTATGCAGCAGGCACTCCAGAAGCCCAAGTGGCTCCTTGGAGGCTTTTGGAAGAACAAGCTGTATTTAAGACAATGAAAGCCAATGTAAGTACTCACCTGTGGAGGTTCAAAGTTTGGTCTCCACCAGTTACCAATGCAGTCATCAATCACCCAGTCCTGCTGGACGCCATCCTGACGGCCCAGGATCTATCAAATACAGCTACAGTCAAAACTCTAAATACTACAAGAAAAACTGTAGAAAATGCACTCTGGCAGCATGAAGACTTGCTGTAATAAGGGTATGATGTAGTTCAGAGCTATTCTGGAATAGTTTTTAATGTTTGGTTGGTTTTATAAGGTGGCTTATTTTGTTTTCATAAAATCCTCACCTGACAGGACAAGGACACTTCAGAAAACATTTTGAATTCCACACTACATTCAGCCAACTGACTGCCATATGACCAATGGGAAGAAAGGAAAGCAGTGACACTACCTGACAGCAATCACTTCAACAAAGTTATTGTGTTGGGAAAACTAGCTCAAAAACAAGTCCTCATCCTCACGTTGTGCTCAGCAACATATCCTGCTGCACATCTGAAGCCAGCCCAAAAGTAAAGCTGCACATGAACGCAGGACTTGGGGGGGAAGACAGACCTCTGGGTCACACTCTCACGAGGAAGATAAATGAGAGCTTACTGTTATACTTTGTTGTTAGCGACCTGAGAACATTTTACACTCACACACAAAAGCATCAAAATGACAAGTGACGAGGAGACTGCTGCAGTTCTTTGGCTATTCTACTAACTCTAACATAATTCAACATTCCACAACATTCCAGTATTGCAACATAACAAAAGAAAACAGACCTCTGTCATTAAGCGTTTGAGCCCTTCTACCTCATCTTCTCCTGGATTGAGTTCACCACCAGGTCTGTTAAAATAATCAATGATTAAAGCTAGAGTTATGGTTTACAGTATTCACAGACTTTTATGGTTAGTTTGGACACGTTTCCACGCATGGAACTACAAATTCACTCAAGGCTCTTGCATCTGAGGTTCCAAATCTAACCTTGTCAAATCTGAAGACAATAGGGTAGCTTTCACCAAGACCACCTCAAATGGCTGCTATGTGTCCCCCCCAAAAAAATAACAAAACAAAGCAAAACAGGCCGATAATAATAAATAACTTCAGTAAGACAATAACAATATACATAATAATGACTGGGACACTTAAAAGGCAAAGTTTGAACAATAATGTAGAAGCACTGAAATTGAAGAAGGGGCTGTAAGCACCAGCTGTGCTTGTTCCAATCTCAAAAGCAACACTTAGAGACATGTACAGGAAGCATAAAACTCAAGTAGGGAATCATCCTGCATTTAATACAAGGATAATGAGGAAACTGGAGATACATTTTTGCCACAGTTGTTAGCAAATGCAAACAACTTGCCTATTTACTCCACATACATGCCCAAAATCAGGAGGTCAAAAAAGAATCTGGATATAAACATATTTTTTCCCCTCACCTGGGACAACCAAACACTGGAAATGTTAAAAACATACAACCAAGAATACGAGGAGAATCACCTGTCTCAAGTGTAAGCATTTTAAAATAAGAAAACAAGCACGACCACCACTACAATCATACGACCAAAACTTCCTTCCAGTTGTGATAACAGCGGACTAATTGAAGCAATTCCCTCACAAATTCAGATGCCTGTCCTTCTTACTGTACCCTGCTGGCAGTTTGTGAATTGATAACCATTCTGCATTTACCAGGGTTTATGCTTTGACATTTCTGCAGCCATAGCATAAGTGTATTTAAGCATAACAGCTTCCACAGCGTAAGACCAAACCCTGACTACTGGCAGGGCCTTCAACAGGAACCTATCAGGGTGATGCACTGCAACAAAGATTTCCAACGGCTTTAGAACCAAGGCAACTCTCCACTACCCATGAGCAGAATCAGATAAATACATTTTAGAGGAAGATTTCATCATTTTAAAAACAGTTCTCACAAACCATGCGCTTGGAACAAACGAAGCTCATTAAAAATACCTAGCAGAGTTGTCCACACCTTACTTTGCAATATGCACAATTAGAGAGGTCTGTGATTGTCTGGTTGAACTAAGAATGTGCTTGCAAGAACAGACACTTACAGCTTGAAGAAAGTTGTCCCCAGCTGCAGTAATAACACGTGGGGCAGTCGGTGCTCGTGCACTATCAGAACCCCTTCCACAGTCCTCCTCATGCCAATTTTGTCAAACTCTTCTCTCATGCGCTGGAACCGAGCAGCCACTGAACTGTCCTTCTCATAAAGGGGCTCCTTTGTGCCAAATGTGTAATTGGTGAGAGGATACCTAAAGGGGAAAAAAAATATTGCCACATAACAAGAAAGCTAAATTTACATCTCTAGCACACTGTGTTCACCCTGCAGCTGAGCCTTCCGTGCTCGTGGGAGCAGAAATTCACTCATTGCAATGGACTACAAGTTCTGGGTTACACACTGTGCTGCGCAGCCCAGGCCATGCCAAGGTCTGCACGATGGCACATGAGGGCAAGAGGTCATGCTGGTGGGACACGCTGTCCCGGTGCCAATCCAGAAATAAGCAAAAACACCCAGAAGCACCTGCAGCAAGTGCTACTCTGCAGCCACCTGCTTTGACTCCACAGCCTGGAGAAAAGGGAGAGAAAACTCTGCTGGGAAGGGAGGAGGCTGTGCAGGACAGTGTTTGTTTCTGCAGGAGCAATAAAGAGCCTGAGAACCAGGCTGTTAGAAGGAAATGTTGATTGTCTGCATGCAGGGTTGGAAGACTGGGGCAGGAATTGCTTGGAAATCCCCCTGTTGGCTCAGGTCCTGGACCTCCATCTCCAGAGCCGAGGCAGCACGCGCTCAAGGGATTTCTCCAGGCAACAGAGATAAAGTGGAGACAGAAAAACCAGGAAAAAAAAAAAAAAGGAAAACTTAAGGAAGAAATCAGACAGTCCTAAACATGCAAATGCAAGTAACAAGGACCTGATAACACAGAAATCACAAGTCACTTCCTTGTCAAATCTGATTTCCACGTACACAAGTGAGCCACAACAAGTTTCCTAACTGCAGCACCTTTATAAACAAACGTCTCTCCTTGCACTTAAAGCTTAAGAGCACCTATATTGCCACTCATTCCCATTTTTAGATTCCCAGAGAGTCATCCTAACAATCCATCGCACCGTGCTGCTGTGGCTGCATCAGGCTGTACATCCAAACCACTAGCCTACCTTAAAAAAAATAATGCAAAGTGCAGACAACTCAGCTTCCTGCTGATTTTCCTCTTCAGAAACACTTCAGAAATATTCCAGCCTCTGAAGCTGACATTTAAACAGCCAAAATAAGAATCTTAACTGTGAACCAACTTAATTACACTAAACAGTACATACTGCAGAATACCAACTGAATATTGCCCACTGCAGCTTGACAGACATATTTATCAAATGCATTAACAGGATTTCACTCAGAAACAGAAGTAGAACTATGTGCCTTCTCATACAAAGTACTTACAGCTAAAGTTTTTAATCTCTAACAGGAAACAAGTGTTCTCTGGTCGCAGCTGCTGTGAATTTCAACTAAGAGAAGTGTACTGCACACACAACAAGCACACCTATCCACATGCTGCTGGGCCACACATAGGGTGCTCCAAGCCAACAGGAGCCTGTTCCCCTTGCTGCACAGACAGGGGGTGCCTGCAAGCTGCTCAGAGAAGTACCCATGAGTCCCAATTCTGCTACTGCCCAATAAATTTGGTGCTTGGAGGTCACAGTCCCGCATCAGGTGTTGTGCACCACCAAGCCACAGAGTCAGACAGTGGATTGGGTGGGATCTTAGAGAGCATCTAGTTGCAGCCCAGCTGCAGCGTGCCAGCTTTCTCTTGTTCCTTTAAGCCCTCAATGAGAGCAGCCCTAGAGAGAAGGACTTGAAGGTTCTGGTGAATGAAAACCAAGACATGAGCCAGCAGTGTGTGCTTGCAGCCTGGAGAGCCAACAGAATCCATGGCTGCATCAACAGGGGAATGGCACCATGGAGAGGAAGGGGATGTTCCCTTCTACTCTGCCTTCATGAGACCCCATTTGGAGTACTGTGTCCAGGCCCGGAGCCCCCAGCACAGGAAGGGTACGGGGCTGTTGTAGCAGGTCCACAGGGAGAGCGATTTTTCACACAGGCAGACAGCGATAAGACAAAGGGGAGCGGTTTAAACCTAAAAGAGGGGAAATTCTTTGCTCAGAGGACGGCGAGGCCCCGGCGCCTCCGCCCAGAGCAGGGGGTGCCCCATCCCTGGAGGTGCCCGAGGCCACGGACGGGGGCATGGGCAGCCTGAGTCGGAGGGGGCACCCAGCCCACGGCAGCGGGTGTGTCTGGAGGGCTGCGAGGCCCCTTCCAACCCAGCCGTTCTGGGCCATCACGCGTCGCGAACCCCGCCGCTCCCCGCAGGCTGCGACCCCCGCGCGGTGCTTCAGGCGGCGCCTCCCGGCCCTCTCAGCCGGCCGCAGCCCCACCGCCCGCCGCGGCCCTCACAGGTTGATGGTCCTCTCTAGCGTCAGCGGCTTGGTCTGCTGGATGTACTTGTTCCCGAACTGGTTCACCCCGCGGGGCCAGCCGGTCTGCGAGCGGTTGGGCGGCACCACGGACATGGCGGGAGGCGGTGTGAACGCTATCCGCCATACAACTCCCGGCGGGCCGCGCTGCCACCGCTCTGCCGGAAGCGCCCCCTCCCACTTCCGGCGGCGCCCACTGCAGAGTCGCGCCGCTCCGTCCCCCCGCGGCGTCCCGGCTGACCAACCGCGGGGCGCTCCGCGCCTCGCCCGCCCTCATCCTGCTCTCTGATTGGCTCGGCGCAGCGAGGCCCCGCCTCCCCACAGGGGCCGCTGGGATTCGTAGTCCAGCGGGGAGCGGCAGCATGGGAGCCAAGCGGCGCGGCGCGGCGGGCGGCCGTAGCGGGGAGAAGCGCGGGCGGCGGGAGGTTGCCGCCGAGCTGTGTGCCGCCCTCGGCGACGCGGCGCTACGGGAGCGGGCGGCAGCGGCTTGGGCCGGCGGGGAGCCGCTCCGACACGGTACGGGCTGGCGGGTCTCGCGGCTCTCAGCCCGGTGCCGCGCCGCCCGCTGACCGCCGGCTTTGTCCTCGCAGAGGCCGTGGCGGTGGAGCAGGCCCCGTTCCGGCACGGCGTGCTGCGCGGCCTCCTGGCCAGCCCGGCCTTCGCGGCGGCGTTGGGCGACGAGCTGCTGTGCCTGGGCTTCCGAGAGCGGCGGAACGACTTGCTGTCCCTGCGGCAGGTGGGCCGGGCTGGGCTGGGAGCGGGGCTGAGTGCCATAGAGCCACAGAATCATCACAGTGAAAGAAACCTCTCAGATCGTCATCTCCACCCCCACCGTGCCCGCTGCCCACGTCCCTCAGTGCACGTCCCCACGGCTCTGGGGCACGGCCAGGGCGGTGACTCGCCCTCCCTGGGCAGCTGTGCCACCACTCACCGCTCGTTCAGAGCAGAAATGTTCCCCAGTGGCCAACCCGACCCTTCCCTGGCGGAACACGAGGCCATCGCTCTCACTCTATCGTTGTCACCTGGGAGCAGAGGCTGACCCCCTCCTCACCACAACCTCCTTTGAGGGGTTGCAGAGCCACGAGGTCTCCCTCACCACCTCCCTCAATGCTTTTCTCCATCTCTCTCCACGCTGCCGCAGTCTGAGGAGCTGGGGGCCAGGCCGGAGCCCCACGTCAGTGCACTGAGGTAAGGCTGCAGGGTCCTCAGGGCAGCGTGCCCTGGGCCAGCCTCACCCCGTGCTTTGCTCCGCAGGCGGGCGCTGAGCAGGACCCTGCGGGTATGGCTGGAGGCTGTCACCCACATCGAGTTGGAGCCCTCCATCGACATCTCCTGCGCCAAGTACGAGAGCACAGGTCAGTCAGCCCACCGACCTCCCAGCTCCACACAGTGCCACCAAACCCAAAGTCTGAGACTGGTGTCCCAGCGCTCCTTCAGCTCCAGAGCTTGTGGCCGTAGCCATTGCCCTGGGGGGCTGTGCTGTGCCCACCACTCACTGAACCACAACCTGTCCCTAATGCCCCCTGACCCTTCCCCGTCACTGTGGTCATGCTGCTCGCAGCTGCAGCAGGGCCCAGGGCTGGTGTGACCCCTGCCCTGTGGGCTGCTCTGCCTGGGCTGTCATCCCCTTGCATGCACGTTGCCATGGCAGGTGAGGAACACTTGTACTGCTTTTAAGACACCCGTACAACCAACTGTTGCTCTGTGCTCAGGGATTCCCCTTCCCTCCACTGCAGCACAAACATCTTGCAGGGCAGCTACATATCAAAGAACAGACCTTGGTTAATCCAGGAATGTCTGCTGTACCCAGTGACAGCCACTGCGGTGGGTGATGGGAATTGTAATTCCACATTTTCAGAGTGGGCTAATTACAGTGAAATCCCACAGAAATTAACCTTGCTGTGTCAGTGCTGCCCTTCCAAGAACTGCATTTTCACCTCTCAGCATGTTCTTTCTTGCAGGAAAAAAGCTGAGAAGCAACCACTGATTAATTTAGGTTGGATGTCAGGGGGAAGTTCTTTACAGAGAGGGTGGTGAGGTGCTGGAACAGGCTGCCTGGAGAGGCTGTGGATGCCCCATCCCTGGAGGTGTTCAAGGCCAGATTGGATTGGGCCCTGGGCAGCCTGGTCTAGTGTTAAATGGGGAGACTAGTGGCCCTGCCTGTGGCAGAGGGGTTGGAGATTCATGATCCTTGAGGTCCCTTCCAACCCTGGCCATTTTGTGATTCTGTGAAAGCTTTACTGTAGCAAAATGTGTGTCCTTGCAGATGTACTGCTGTGCCACGACGATGAGCTGGAAGGCCGGAGAATTGCTTTCATCCTGTACCTCGTGCCACCCTGGGAGAAAAGTGATGGGGGGACGCTGGACCTGTTTAGCACAGATGGTAAGAGCTCAGCTTCAAGTGGCTGCAAGAGATGACTCTTGTGCGCCTACCCCTTGCAGCAATTCTATACAGAGTATTTCCTTCGTTCAGAGAAGCTGATGTACAGATAAAATTTGCACCTTGCAAAGGGTGTTGTAAGTCTTTGCAGAGAAAGCCAGCGGGTGACAGCAGAGGGCAATGAAGAGGGGAATCCTTTTTTTTCCAAGAAGGCAGGATAGAAGTAACTGTGATTGGGACTTGAAAGTGACTGTGATAAATTCCCTTTCCAACAACAGAAGTCCACGATTTTCTCATCAAGCCCTGAGCTCCATCTCTTACACTGAAATGTCCCACTAGTCAGTGTCACAAGGTCAGAACCATCAGCTATGAGTGAGTTCCATATCTCAACCAGATTATGTTTTCTTCTTCCTCAGAACACTTTCAGCCGCAGCAAGTCATGAAGTCATTGATGCCTTCGTGGAACACACTGGTTTTCTTTGAAGTGTCTCCAGTCTCTTTCCACCAGGCAAGGAGCTGCCTTTTTTTTTTTTCTTTTCATTTTTTGATTCTTGTCATTGTTGTGGCTATTTGTTCTGCATGCTGTTACAGCCCTGGTGGGAAGGAGAAAAGGGGAAGGGAGAAACACGGGCAGTCAGAAGAGATACTCATGCTAAGTGCAGTGCATTAAAAGCTTGTGACTTTAGGAAGGACAGGAGCTGGCAAAGCCAACTTTAAACTGTCAGCCTAGCTCCATCATCTTGGGGGAAAAAAAATCCCGTCATTACTTCCTAGCACATCTTCAGGTATTGGCCATCTTTACAGATCCCAAATAAAGCTTTGGATGTTCACTGAGCAGAGCATTTGACAGGCATTTCCCTGGTTTCCATTTCCCAAGTGATCTAGGATACTGCAGCCATTCCCAGTAGCCTACAACGCCTCAGAATCATGCAAGGAAACAGCTGCTACAGCTTTGTAACAACAGCAGCTACAACCTGTCCTAGAACAGACTGGTTCTTCCTCCTGTCCTACCAGACAGTTCAAGGAGATAAAAACTGCAATGTCTTTGTGTGCTTCAGAACTTCACAGCAGTTGGTGGCTAGCTCCAACTAGTTGTCATAAGGGGGTGGCTCTGTCTTTGCACTACCGTTACAGTACAGCATCTGCAATCTGAAATAGTTCAAGATAGTCCAATTTATGTCAGTGCACAATTTAATGAAATGTTTAAAAAGTAAAAGACAAAAGTTAGACCAGTATAGCCTGCTTTGGCCTACATGCTCATAACGTTTTCTGCATTTCCAGATGAACCTGTGCCAGCTAGTTTTTGCAACTCATACATGCCAGTTCTCCAATAGAACAAGTGGTAGAAAATTGAATGTTATTTCTATGACAAAACAGCTCAGCCTTTGCTCAATCTCTGAGACAGGGAGTGGATTTTGCTGGGAGCATAGAATAAAGGGTCAGACTGGGATTTTGAAGATTTGCAAAGGACTTGAGTGTCAACATTTGTTTTAGCTCTCTCTCTGTGAACAGAGAATAATCCAGCTTCTTGCAGCCCTTGGCTGCCTCCTCTCTGCGAGCAGTAGGTTCTCATGAGGGATGAGTCTGTGTAGCCAATTACAGTTACTCCTTGCATGTTATGTATTCTAAAGTGACAATGCTGCTCAATGCTGTTCCAGGTGTCAGAGATTCTGTCGGAGGAGAAGTGCCGCTTGTCAGTGAGCGGCTGGTTTCATGGCCCCCCAATAGAGCGTCCTGCACGCTACGTAGAAGCTCCCTTGCCCAGGAGCCCACACATCCCTTATGATGTGAGTAGCCAGCGTCTACAGAACTGCATTTCCATTTCTTTCATGTCCTTCAAATAGCTGTTTGGGACACATCATGGTTAGGGATGCTTTAATCTTTAGCTTATCCAAGTCTCCTTTTTGATTCCTGTCCATAAATTTGTTGCTAGTTTCCCTCTTATATATATATATTTTTTTTCCACTCTGTCCAATGTGCGTGACAACAGTAGTGCAGAGAGGGCAGCAAATGCTCTCAGTGCGATTTAGAAGACAAAAAAACAAAAAAGAGTGGAGGGGGGGGGGGGGGGAATCTAGCTAGTCCTATGGGCAGCTGGGCAAAGAGGAATTGCAGAATTGTTCTTTTGCAAATCCAGTGTTCAAATCCATTTCTTTTCCAGCATGAAATCTTGTATGAGTGGGTCAATCTAGTTTATTTGGACATGGACTCCCAAGCTCAAATCCAGGAGGAATTTGAGGAGCGATCAGAAATTCTGCTGAAGGATTTTCTTAAGGTGAGCTCTGTGCTTCTATGCGATGTGGTCACAGGGCTAGTAGTGTCCTCATGACGTGCATGACCTCCTGAAATCCCTTCCAGCCTCAGCCATTCTGTGTTCCTGTGGATGGATAACTACTGCCTGCCTGTACACTGCTGTGCAGGGATACATCAAAACCCATAAGCTTTGTTTCAGCAATCTCATTTCCTGCTAGTAGCAAAGCAGAAGGATGAAAAGATGTCATCCTACCCGTGATGACCAGAGTGTCCTTATCTGTCCCCTGAGCTCACATCTTAGGGGAATTCAACCTGTATGTGAAACAAATGACTCACAGTGATTGTGGCTTACTTGAATGGCTGTGCTTCTCAGGGCTGATTTATCCCTTGTTTACTGAGCATCCATATCTCAGTGAAATTGCATTCTCACCCAGCTGACAATCAAGTAACATTTCATACCTATTAGGTTACGGCCGTTAAAAATTCACAGTGCCCACCCAGACCATGCTCTTCTATTCAGCAGTCACTAGGAGACAGGCACGTTAAAGAAAATGTTGAGAATGCCT